CCATTTGTGTCGGTCCTGTCCGTCTGATTGATCCTGTCACCGGTTGCTGTTGTGAGATTCATCCCGGATCTGATGAGCTCGCGAACTGATGATCCATGCCATGTCGCCGCGGTTTCTGCTCAGCAGCGACTTAACCTCGGTTGCTCTTTCGTTTCCGGAGATTGATTCGGCGAGCAGATTGCATTACATGGTGCGGGTCAAACTTCTCCGATCTTCTCACTTGATTTGTTGACAGAACTCTAATGTGATGGAGCTGAATTTTAATCAGCTGCGAGAGTGCGATGCACCCTGATCGACTGTGGCGAGAGTGAGAGGAACGTAAGAAGAAAGTTATCCTTCGATCAGTACGGTGAGATTCAAAATGCCGAACGATATGACGGACTACCGAACGATGTTTGCGAGCAAGAACAGAAACCACTGTCGAGAGAAAAGGGAGTACTGTGGCTTGTCGTCACAAAGCACGCAGCAAGGTGGCACGGCGGATATGTACTCCATGCGACACAACTCTAGATGCGTGTGCCTGTGCCCCACGCGGCCCTTGTTCAGCTCGCTATGGCCTCTGTATAACCAACCCGACGCCGTGTGGCCCAAGTGGCATCACCACCGCCTCTTGGCCCTATCAGGAAACTACAACCCCTTGGAGCGACTGTGGAAATCTTTCGAGCTTTTGGAATACAAGCCAGCGACGAAGACGTGGGTAATAGTCACGAGGATGCCGGACAAGTTCGTGAGCGCCATGTTCCAGGTGAAGTCCTTCGACGCGATCTTCGCTGCGTCGCACCAGAGCCGAATTTTCATCAAGAGGGTGGGCGATGGACACATCAACGGCGCAGTGTATGACCTCGACAACGACACCTGGGGCACTCAGTGGATCGTGCCGATTGATGCCATGGCTTGGTTCCGGGGAATCTACCCCATTCAGGAGCTGTGTGTGCCGTGCGAGAAGTATATGACCCAGTGTCACACTTGTCTGGCACCGGAGAAGCGAACCGGGAAGAGGATCTACATCCCACCAGCCTAGTGTGAGTACGATCTGATCGACCGCACCAGATTAATCTCAGAAACCAAAACTGGACCTGCACCGATGACCTCAAACCTTGCGATTCGTCCCAGTTATGGATCTGGAGGAAGCCAAATCTAACGCTATAATCCACATGATTTGGAACAATGATAAGACTTTGGGCACGTTTTCTTCTATATTTAGCAGCATGGGAATAGCGGGTCTGAAAGCAAGTCCCCATTTTGCAGATGGCGTCGTGTTGAAGAGAACTAGAGACTGCCGTTTTGAATAGCAATACGTGTTCGAGGAGTGCAAGTTTGTGGGGAAATACTAAACTTGCAGATAGGGACCTTCTTGTTTGAGACCATCTCAATTCTCCATTGCCATGGATTTCTACAATTCTGACAATTGTCACGTGCAATAGCTGTTATTAAAGCTAAAAACACAAGAGTACTTGTTGTATCGGTTACGATTTAAATGCCAGTTTTGTTTACGTGGCTTTGTCTATTATTTTCTGTGTGTGTGTGTGCATCTGCATATATGTATATTTAGATTAAAGTTTTAGGTGTTTCAGTATATTAATGTTATTTTTACTTTTTCTTCCCTTCACTGTCCCGAATGTACAGTAATCATAATTTTGGCTCTTCATTTTTTTAATATGTTTTTTTAATATTTCAAAATTTAAATACTTTGGTGTAAAATGATAGTACTTTTAATAAAATTCTTTTTTCTTTTGGTGTATTTATGATTCACATAGTTTCTGCACACAGATGTGTTTGCAGAAAAACTGTGTATGACAGTTACTGATTGCTTCTAATTTTATAATCAACTGTATAAGAACATGGTTAAGGAGTTAGAAACATTAATTTTGTTCCACCACTTGAATTTATCTGGAATATTTTGAGAATATTGCTTGCTGTGAATTATTTGAATTTTATTTATTTCACTAAATTTCATTTGGTCAAATTATCTAAAAATTTACCGAATTAACTAATATTTAATGCATTTCAGAGAACTCTAATTCATGTGAACATTATTGTCTATGTTTAAAGCCTAATCATTTTAAAGTATTAAGAGACTTAATTTTTTGAATAAGAGCATGGATAATGTTTCCAAAAAATTTCAACATTGAAATAAAAGGAAAGAGGTGTTAAAATATAAATAAATAATATATATATATATATATATATATATATAGTATCATAATAATTTTAGACTTTAAATTGAATGTAAAATTCTTATTTCATTTTATAATTTTTTATACAAGACTATGAATCTTTTTCTATTGTTTATTACTCCAAAAAAATAGATGATACATTTCTATAGCTTACGTATATGTTTAAATACTATAAGTATCTAAGCATGCTTAAACTACTTGATTTACAAATAAAAACATTATTGAAAAATTATTCATTCTTTTATTCATATATAAACATTTATTGATAATAGGTATTTATATTTATATTTTTACTAAAAAATTGATCGAGTATCTAATTATTTATTGTAAGTATAAAAATTAAAATAATACCGAATATTATCAATGATATTTCAACAATATATATCTGAAATTTGATTTTTTTTTTTTCATCAAATTTAAAGATGGGTTTATAATAGATCTTCTTATAAACTTCTTCATTTACATTTTTTAACTTCATTTATTTTTTATATAATTGAATTAGATTCCAATGCATTGATTTGACAAAAAAAAGAAAAGTAACAAACTACTATCTAGGAGATTTTATTTAATCTATGCTTATAGATGAGATAAAATACTATATTGGTAATTCAATATTTTGTGAATACTTCAATTAAGTATTGAGTTACTCTTGCCAAGAAAAGTAGAGCAACTAAAAACACAAAGGAAGTTAAGAAAAAAAACATATTAAGGTTGAGATATAAAATAGTCTCTATGCAAGGTAATCTTAAATATAAGATATTATATTTGAGTTTAAAGTCAAGTTTAGTTTCTTTTCCATATAATATAATTATTGAGCTTTTTGTACTTCCTTTATCAATATAAAAGTCATATTAGAAATATATTTGATTAAGAATTTGGATAATCTATTTTATATTTTTTTATCATATATATCTATATATATATATATATATATATATATTATAATTATCAATTTTGTGTTTTTAATTCTAGTGTCATTACTATAATCTAATATTTGTTATCTTAAATTTATATAACACTAGTCAATTAGAATTTGGTTTTGCAATTATAATTCTATTTAGTTCTTGTGATTTGATATTTATTGTCTTGAATCTAAACAACAATAATTGAATAGAAGTTGATATTCCACAATCTCATATTAGATTCATTAGAGCTATATATACAATAGTAACACTTGATTAAGAAATTTTGTGCCATTGTTTTTTTACTTTTATGTGAGATTTATGGATGGTGCAATGATAGTGGATAACATTTTGGTCTTGGTGGATGTTACTCTAATGCCTACATGTTTATATTAAATAAGAATTTGTTTAATTTTTTTTTGTGAATATTAATATGAAAAAGTGTATTTCATAAGTGATTAGGTCAATATATTAATTTATGTGCATAGATTGATAAAGTTGATTAGTACAATTTTATATTTTTTAAACATGGCTTAATTTCTTAAATGTATTATAGAGTTTTTGTGCTCTTTTAAAAGAATTATTTATAATTTTTTATTTATTATTATAAAAAGATATTTTATTATTAATATATAAAGTATGATTTTTATTATTTATAAGATTGTTATATGAGAATTTGTGCAATAGGATTGTTGCAACATGCAATAGATTGTTGCAACAACGTATACATAAGCATAGTTGGGAATATCTAAAATTTTAATCATCAAAGAAATAGCTACCAATATCCAAAAATTGTTGTCATTGCACTAAAAGGTTCTACATGGATTGATAATTAATGGTACTAGTATAAACTTTGATGCTATTTGAAGCTTTGCATCTACAAAGTACTTGAAGAAATCATAAATCTTTGTACACCATGACAAATTTGCACTTGCTTAGGAACACAACAAAACGTGGGTCTAGAAGTAAAAGATTTGTTATAATTTGGTGATTGAATAGTGTTTCTATCACCACAAGTTGCTTTAACTTTAATTCATGCTCACATGCTCATTGCTTGTATGAATATGGATGAGATCCAATTTTAAAGAAGGTGTTGTTTAAGTACAACAAGACTTTCTTAGTGATCGACCCTCATTGCTCCATCTCTTATTCTAAGTTGTTGTTATGTTGAGTAAATTCATTGGACTTGTAATGACATTCTTATCACAAGCTTAATAATGAAGCAACAAAAATATTTATTTGGTTTTATATTTTTCTAGGTATTACCTTTTTGGAATAAGAAGTAAGATAGAAGAACTAGTAAGTGTTGCAATTGATATTGAGAAGATTGTGGGACAAAATCTAAACTTGTGTTGGAAGCAATGCCAAGGATGTAGGACATGTTACACAAGTTTAGACTAGAAGACCATGAGACACCTCAAACAAGTATTATATATAAAGTTAATTTAAAATAATTCAAATACAATATTGAAAAACTGCTTATTGTGTAACATCATTGTAACTTGTATTAATATATATATGTAGATATATATATACTCCAAAATCTCAATAACAATATCATGATTTAGAAGCATAGAATTGCATCAGTACAATAAAACTTATTCTGTAAAGAACAAATCCTTTGATAGAATACATAACCTTAGATAACAATATTTAAAACATTTGCAGAATCAGAATTAGGAAAACACTTGAAGAATCACAATTCCATACACTTGTTGTTAGATATCAATCTAGTTAGGTGAAATATTTGTCCTACAAATCTAAGTTGACATCAGGCAGTCTGAAGAATGAGAAACACAGTTTCAAAGCCAACGTTTCAACGGCGACGTCAGCTTTTCCGTCACCCCTGCGACATGTTTTCGTGGTCAAGGGGTTTTAACGCGGCGGAGTCGAGCCATCATCTCGAGTCCTGTAGTACTGAAGCTGGAGGAGAGAGCCAGGCTTTTGCGATTCGCGATACTGATTTTCAACTCCGATTGCAACCGCATTGTGGCGTCATCAGTCTAAACCAGAAAAAGGGCAATTACTAGTTTCGTGGTTGCTGCACGTTCCGTGTCTAGCACGCTGCAGTGCAGGACCTCAGGACATTTTTCCCAGGTCGAGGATATATAGAGCGCACACTTGCAATCGAGGTATTGGTCGAGTTGGTGGAAATGATTCGTCTCGCCATTCCTTGACAAGGAATAACTTCAGCTTCAGTGTAAGTTAACTGGGTGCATCTTGCTCGTTTGTTAGACTCGCGAGATTTGGTGGACGACTGAAGTCGACGGACCATGGAGTCATCGATTGTCGACTGGACTGGTGTGCCGCATGTCGTTTTGATACCGTGGTTCGGAGCTGGGCATACCATCCCGTTCTTGGAAATTGCTCGACGATTGGCAGCTGAGGGAATCGTCATTACCTTAGTGACCACAGACAGGCATGTCGTAGAGGTGCGGAGTTTAGTCGGATCGATGGATTTGACTTCTCAAGGATTACCTCTGAGGCTTCTAGGGTTGAGGGACAACATGGCGCATCTCTCCCATTATGAGTGGATGGAAAAGGAGAGGGAGGACCCCGAGGCGCAGCTCAATGTGGTGAAGCTCTTGCAAGAGCTCATCGTCGATGTTGGGTCACCAGATTCAATGAAACTGCGAAATGTGCAACCTGCAGCTCCTCCCGTCTGTGTCTTGCACGACTTGTTTGTTCCATGGGCTCAACTTGCGGCGGAAAATCTTAAGATTGAAAAGCATATGTTCTATTCATCCTCAGCAAGTGCAATGTCATGTGCATTACAAGTAAGCTTTGTTCTGTGCCGTCTCTTCTCCAGATTAAAAATGTTGAAATGTTCAATGTTACTGGCTTGAATTTGTCACTATAGAAGCAATTTCCAACTGCCAGTTAAGCAATTGAGGCTGCGAGATTTTAGACTTTAGATCTGTGGTGATTATGTTTGTCGTGCACCTGTTTGCAGACGCGCCGCCTATATCAAGAAGGGCGTATACCAATCACTCGAGAAATGCGCAACATGGTTTTCACAGATATTCCTGGTCTCCCACCAATTCCCGCATTAGATCTATTTAGCTCGTTTATGGATCCCGTCATGTACAAATGGATGAGTCGTCATTACTTCGCGTGTCAAAACGCAGACGTGGTTCTGATCAACACTTACTATGACCTAGAGAAACCCGTACTTGATGCCTTGCGCAATGAAGTCATTGCAGCTCCAGATGCACAGGTATTCAGTCCAACCGATGACCTTATGTGCGGTGGACACATTCTCGTTTCTGATTGTTTCGTTTGCTGAAAGAGCCTCAAAAATGTGTTCTGAGGAACACCAGGTGTGCAGATTAAATTTATCTACGACATAGGGCCGTTGCTTCCAGAGTCTTATGTCAGGAGGGACAGAGATGATGACATTCTGCAGCAAGGTTCGGAGGAGACGGATCCATGTATCTTGTGGCTGAACACGCGACCTCCTTCTTCAGTTATCTACGTTTCCTTTGGAAGTATGCAAACCAATTCACCTCCACAGCTGCTGGAAATGGCTCTGGGATTAGAAGCAAGTGGCAGCTCTTTTCTGTGGCTAGTTCGGCCTCCGGACTCACCCGGAATGACAGCAGCTTTGGGAGGTCCATGCTCCATCACAGAGTTCCTTCCATCGGGTAATTCTCTAAATCTCTCGATTGTTTTCATAGAAGAGCAGTGCCAACATCTCACTACTGAATCACAGAAATTGGTCTTACTCTCCTGTGGTGTGGGGTTACAGGGTTTGAGGACCACGTGAAAGAAAGAGGAATGTGCTACTCTGGATGGGCGCAGCAGATGCGGATTCTGAAGCATCCGGCGATAGGAGGATTCTTTAGTCACTGTGGATGGAATTCTACTCTTGAGGCTGTATGCGCTGGAGTTCCGATACTGGGATGGCCGTTCAAAGCAGAGCAACACCTCAACTGCAGGTTAGTCTTCCATGTCACAACGAAACCATTGGTATTTTGCGGACATGCTAACTTGTTATTAATGTGCTTCTGCATCAAAAATTGTAGAATTGGATTGTGCATCCTTTGAGAATGTTAGCAAAAGTCGCAATCTCGCATGTTGTGCCTAAACTTGGACGATTTCCAGAATCTTAGTGGACACGCTGAGAGTAGCCATTGAGGTGGAGGGAAACCCCCACACGAAGGAAGAGCTCGAAAGTGAGAAGGTAAGGCTGGATCGATTTGTCTCGAAAGAGGAGATTGAGAAGAAGGTAAGGAATCTAATGCAAGAGGAGAAAGGGCAATTAATTCGAGAAAACATGCAGAGACTTAGAATCAAGTCTCGTGAAGTGCTGTCACAAGGAGGCTGCTCACGACAAAGTTTTGAAGCTTATCTTCGTCTCCTTCGCGGAAAAAGAGACAATTTCTTAGCAAGTCGGCCTAACCAGCAACTTCATCGAGTTCATTTGAATACTCCGTGTACAGCTAATAGACAATTTCGATAGCTTTAGAAATCGAAGGTAATCAGTAATGTGCGCAAATTGAGTTTACATGGCTCATTCAATGGCTGTTGTCCAAATTCTTTTGTACAAGTTGCCAGCGCTTCACACTTGAAAGCGCAGCATTATCATCACATGGACTGAATTTAGACTGTTTCCAGCCACCCTTATCAGAATTGAAGGAACCATCACAGGGAAAAGCAAACCAAAGCAAGTTCGGAATTCCATTTCATAAGGTGGACCACAACAAATTCTCCCGATTTTAAGCTATAACCTTAAGATTCTCCTACTCAGTCAGCACAAGTTACCAGGATTGCGTCTCTTGAAATTCATGAAACACAGTATGAATAATGAAAACGTAAATATATTCATGGTTGAACCCTTCTGAGTAGATGAAAAAACTTCCTCAACATTAATTTCCTTCGACATGCGGTTCTCATGAGGATGGCTGGAATCAGCAACTCTAAATACGCAATTTCGACCCTCATGCTCCTGTCGCTCTCATGAGAACCTCATGTCGAATTCGTCGAATTTGCAGAGTTAACCTGTAGCTCAGAGCAGCACCTTTATAAACGATCTATAATTATTAAATCTCAAATCATATAGCATTTTTATAAATTGTATTAACGGTAGTACAATAGCGTTTCTTTGGATCTTCGTGCTTGTTTGACTAGAAAAAAAACTTACAATGTGTTGGTATGTAAGAAAAGAACCTAAAATATTTTCGAGTTTTTATATTGTGATATGGAGTCATACAATTTAAAACCAATCAAATAATTTTTACGAACGCTTCATAGTTTGAGCATTCTAATTATCTACAAATGCGGATAGTAAGATGTGACCGCAGCAGAAAGTTAGATGGGGTGCAGCTTAAAAGTCCAGGATCAATTTTCTTTTTATTGCCGGATGAGACGAGAACTACTGTTCTATTGTACTACCGCAGAGCGGATAACAGGGACCGACTGATTGGATGGGGCCATGTGATCCTAAACTGAGTTGGAACTGATTCAGCACAGCGAGGTGTTAGGACGCGAAGAAGCTGCGATCTTTGCAGCGCTGACAATGATCGACTGCGGTAGGATTTTAATGTTTCGTGCGTGAATTTCTTTTTGAATGAGCTGGAGCGCCGAGTGAAACTCGAAACCACCTGCTTGTACACCAAGCGGCGCAAGCAGACAGCGAGGTTTCTGGGATTCGTACCTGTGAATCCCACTAGCGAGGCCAAGCACTAGCTCATGTTCCGTAGGCAGATTCCTCACTATAAGATCCTAGGATTTGTTTCCAGAAAGCCACCAGTACTTCAGTGGTCCACTGCTCTTGAGCACACTCCAGACTTACTCCGAACGTCAGTTGCCCACCTGCAGCGAAGGGGCTTCTCTTTGGCGGAGCCTTCTCTGCCGACCTGTAGTTTCTCATTGCATTGGCTCTCTACACTTCAGGAGTCCATCTCTTGAGTACGTGAACTTGTTGTAAGCCGGAGCTTTAGATTTTGGATCCAGGTGATAGATTCCAGTCCACCAGCTGAAGGTAATTCAGCAGCTTGAAGGGATAGTGCTGAGTCGAGATGGCGGGCGGCGGCGTGGTGAGTAGTGGTGGCTCGAAAGGGGCACAGTATGAGGGAAAGACCACAGTGTATGTTATTCAGGCCCGCATCGTTGCAGCCAGAGGCGGTCTCCTTTTCGAATATGACATCGGAATCTCAGGTATGAGTTTAGTATACAGAATTAGAATATAGCGCTGCGTGCATTGTTGAGGTTTGCGATGGTATGCTTCGAAATCAATACACTGCAAATTTGGCGCTCAAGGCCATTGTTGTCATTGGGCTTCGGATAGCTGGAAAGGAAATGAGCTCATATGGAATTCGTATTCATATTAACCAGGCTGTCGTCGTCTCCTTGACATTGTAAATCTGTAAGAGACTCGCTGACGGCCATAATTTATTTTCGCAGGGGGTGTCACTGCCATGGACGACTTCCTAATAAAGTTTTTCCCCCACGTCTACCACAATAAGCACTCACGCGAGTTGCACGAGAGCCATTACTGCAAGTATGACGACTCCGGTTTGCAGCTCTACACTTCGTCGTTATACCTTGCTGGACTGGTGGCGACATTCTTAGCCTCTTTCGCTACACGCTTGGGAGGACGGAAGTTGAGTATGTTCTTGGCCGGTATAGCTTTCTTGGTAGGATAAAAACTAGATCACTCTGATTCCTTCACAGAATTCAACGTCATCCAAGGCATTAAAATGATGAACAATAACGAGCATGTTTGAATTTTGCAGTCTGCTCCTTTGTCCGAGATGACGCCTGCTAGGCTTAGAGGAGCTCTCAACATAATGTTCCAGCTTGCAGCGACCGTCGGAATCCTCACTGCAAACCTCATCAAATACGGTCTGACAAAATGCACCCCAACAGATGGCGCGTGTACTTGGGCTGGCTGCTGTCCCTGCGACCCTTCTCACTCTCGGAGGCATCTTTTGCCCTGAAACTCCAAACAGCTTGATCGAGCGCGGCAAGCGCGAGCAGGGACGCCAAATCCTCACCAAAATTCGTGCCACACAAAGTCAATGCCGAGTACGAGGATATGGTGGAGGCCTCTGAGATCGCTCAGAGGGTGGAGCACCCGATGCCCAACATCCTGCAGAAGAGGAACCGATCTCAGCTGGTGATGGCCATTGCCATTCCATTCTTTCAGCAAGTGACAGGTATCATGTTCTACACTCCGGTGCTCTTCAACACCATTGGGTTCGGTCAGGACGCGTCCCTGTACTCAGCCGTCACTACTGGCGCCGTCAACGTAGTAGCCACTTTCGTCTCGCTCGGAGTAGTCGACCGATGGGGCTGTCGCGTGCTGTTCTTGGAGGGAGGAGTTCAGATGACCATCAGTCAGGTCATAATCGCCATCATCCTGGCACTCAAGTTCGAAGGCACTACCGAGCTTCCCGAGGGTGAGGCCGTGGGCTTTGTCATCCTCATCTGCATCTACGTCTCTACGTTCGCCTGGTCGTGGGGCCCTCTCAGGTGGTTGGTGCCCAGTGAGATCTTCCCCATCGAGACTCGCTCCGCTGAAATGTCTATCACTGTCGGTGTCAACCTCATCTAGACCTTCATCATCGCTCAGATCTTCCTCACCATCCTGTGCCACTTCGAGCACGGCATCTTCCTCTTCTTCGCCGGGTGGGTGGTGATCATGACCATCTTCATTGTCCTCGACTTGCCTGAGACTAAGAGATTGCCTATTGAGGAGATGATCGACGTGTGGCGCCGACACTGGTTGTGGAAGTGCATCATGCCCAACGACCCCCCCATCCACGATGAGAAGCCCAAGATGACCCAATAGAGTTTTTGAAGTGTTTAGGTTTTTTAATCGCATATTCGCATTCTGTCAAAGTTTAAGCATGGATAGCCTCGAACAGAGAAAAAGGTAAATTTTCGAGGGCAAAAGGTACACGATTGATGCAACAAACCAGTTTTCAGACTATTGCTTTAACCGAGACAGTCAATTTGCAATTGACTGAGCAGCAAGAATGTGGTATGAATGGTGATCGATCTCCACCTGGGATGTCTGCCACCATCTGCCACCTCCATTGCCGCAGCCTTCGAAGTTAGGGCGGTAGTTTGTGAGAGGCTATCTATATTCCAGTTATGAAGTGTTAAGTAGCTTGGTCTTGCAGCAGGATTGTTGTCTCGTTCAGAGTCAATATCTGTAAACTATGTCGTAATCTGTACTCGCGGTTCAAGCATTTAAATAAAAGAAGTTTCTGCTCTGATGCAACAGTTAAGTTGAAACTGAAGCAATGTGTAATGCGTACTTTGTTAACAGATATGGGTTGAAATATGGTGTGTTGATATCTGGTGGCACAGAGCTCTGATTGATGTTGCATGTCTTAAGTGATGACATGCAGCGGAAGTATTAGGTCTGGCGCAGAATTTGTAATTTGGTAGAAGGATTTGAAAGACCCTGCTACTTCGTTAAGTTCCAACTGCTTTAATATGGTTCACAAATATTTGAATTTATTTAGAAATCAATTTTGAGAACGATCAGTGTGATCCGTAATCAGAAAGGAACTCTTCCTTCACTTGTCTGTACTGATAAACAGAACATTAAACACAGCATTGTTTTGATACGCACCAAACTTCAGTTCCAGCACACTGGCACCAGCTCCAGATAGGGAGATATTTCCCCATCCAATGCTTCCTACTGCAAGTCGGTCTATTTGAAGCAGATGACCTGATTGACAACTGTTGGATTCCATCTAAAATTACAGCCATCCACAATTGGAATCGGTTGCCAATAGGCCTCCCAGATCACAGAGGGCTTAAGGTTAGTTAATGGATCGAGGTCATTTATGAGTGAACCTTACAACAATCTTGTCCCACGTATCCTCACTATCATCGGCCAGGCTGAGGTAAGTAGCTGGCTCCCACGGGAAGTCCGAACTGCTGTTTGTTGTGAACCTGGACGTGGCATCCTGAGGAAGCTGTATGCAGAATATCAGAGAATGGTCTCTGCCCAGCCACGTCTAAGAGCACTTCAATATGCTTCCGATTTATATAGCAATCGGCTTCAATCATGGAGACCTAATCATTAACTAAATTACAATCAGGAACGGCCAATCTTTCTTAAAGAATCACGTTGGAAGGATAGCCTCCGATAATCAGATAGCAAAGTATAGTGGATCCAACCGGAGGAAGTATTCTATGAGTAACCTAAACAACGTCAAATATCGCATCATACCCATATTCCAATATTGTTCAGCAGATCGTGGATTTGGGTTCAATGAAGAGGTTGCATTATCGAATACAGCTTTGACGTTTGACTTGCTAAACCATCCTGTGACCAACCCAAACAACCCTGCGTACAATCACTTTGTAGCTAATTTAGTCTATAGCAGCACACCATTGAGTACATACGCTCTGTTCAACGCAGCACCACCAATCTGCAACTAACGCCTTCATGAAAATCGTACCATTGCCTTGGAAAAGATCATATTAAGAAGACTTGGCAGTCTGTAGCTTACTGCTCTTGCAAACAGTTCACACGAACAAGTGAGGCCATGAGAAGTATTCAAGCTTGGAGAAAAATTACGTTGGAGCATAAGAAGAGAATCTGAGTTTGCTTGCGTCCACTGAATGAAGTGCTTCGCAACGGTCGCTGCTGAGGGCATATATTCATTGCAGGTTTTGTTTTCCGAATGCGGCATTAAACCCTGCAGTTTGCTGGATGAGTCAGAGTTTGACACGTGACTAGAGTAAGTCTTCTTAATATGATAGAGTTTGCTGGATGAGTCAGAGTTTGACGCGGTTTCCAAGGTTTGAGATCGGAGCGGAAAACCTCTCCACCCGTGTCAATCGTGTACTATCGTGACGATGGGTTCTTTGGCAACTGGCTCGGTGAGTGTTTTGGCTTTGCAAAAAGCGAAACAGTCTTCCCGATATGTGGAAATGCAGACTGCAGTTTCAGCAGGTGTGACGATAGTGAGAAATTCCAAGTTTGGCATCAACCTCCCACGCTTGACAGCAAACGGGTTATCACCCTCTACCTCACTTAGAATGTCCAGGAGGAGACGATCCCCTGCCGTCTACTCGAAGGACAAGGAAGAGTACGTGTTTTGATCCATTTTTGGAATACATTTATTCAAATGTTGAACTGTTCACTGAAAAAAAGAACTTCACACCATCGCTATAGAAATTTAGAAAAAAGAAAATGTTGATTGTTGATCTTATAGTAAATTGTATGTTGAGTAAAATGAGTTTTCGCTAGGAACATGAGCCTCATGATACAAGATCATAGTGCGCTGTGGTAACTTCCACACACACCGATGGCATGTAGGAAAGATGAGTACTTCCAGAATGTCTTGAACCTTCTGTGGGAGCAATTTTCACGACCCGAGAAAGTACGGTGGGTGCGAACTAAACTAAATTAACGAGAAAGTTCGTATCACGTCCAAATGTAGAAGCTCAGAATTGGAAGTTAGAGTATAGCTGAACTTTGCTCTGCGAAAGGCTACAACAATCTGCACAAAACGATGTATTTGATGCGGATGCTTATCAATGTTTCTGACTTGGAGGCAAGTGCAGTAAAGTCGAACGTGAGGATACAACTGAACCCCCTGCCAGTGACGACAACCAAGATGCTGATGACAAGAACGATGAGGAACAAAAAAGCTTCGACGCTGGGGACGAGGAGGAGGGTCATCAAAACGAAGAGCACGGAGAGGAGATAGTGGCAGACCACGACAACCATCAACGGGATGACTTGAAAAAGAGTCTAGCGAACGCGGTGTACGGTACCAATTGGGGGATGAATGCCACTCGAGAGACGCATGCTGCAATTGCCGACATCATCACGCAGCTGGAGGCAGTCAATCCAACCCCGGCACCAACAGAAAATCTCGAAACCATTAATGGAAAATGGATCATGGCGTATGTACCATTTACGACACACTTTCCCCTGATGTGATTTTTCAGCATGTTGAGAGCTCATAACATGGTTAAACCATCCCTACCCGCAGGTACACGTCGGTAGAGGAGTTTCTTCCTTTTATCGCTGCAAAATACCTACCATTGGTGAACATCACCGAGATCGCTCAAGACATCGACGCAGACTCCCTTACTATAGATAACACCGTCTCTTTCACGGGCCCTTACATGAAGACAACGTTCACCAAGTGCGCTTCATTCGATGTGCGCAGTCCAAAGCGTCTCCAGGTACTCAGTTCATTCCTATCCCTCACACCGCACCGACTACACCGACATCGCTGCTGGAAGCAGTCGCCCACAAAACAACTGTGGGATACATATCAACTTGATCGAGGTGGGTGTTTCTGCAGATGATGTATGAGGAGAGCTTCATCGCCACGTCCCAGGTAGACGAGGAGGTTGTCGACAACGGCCCCGAGATGACGGATTTCATGGGTCACAAGATCAATCTCCGGGGCTTAAAATCCCTGCTGCAGCCGATCGAAGACGTGACCAAGCAGGTGACGAAACAAGCCGCGTCGCATCCACCGCTCCGGATCCCATACCCAGCGAACACCGTGCAAAGCTGGCAGGTGATCACGTACGTCGACGATTGCGTGCGCATTGCGCGCGTCGCGGGTGGCGGCGTCTTCGCACTCGTCAAGCCAGGATCTGCCATCGCCGAGCTCCTCGCATCGACAACTCCGCCGCACCTTTGAAACCAACGCTCATCGTCCGAACTCCAACGATTATAGTTTGAGATAAACGCTTATTATTGCCTAATAAACACTTACTATGTTTCTTAAACCACGTGTAGCATTCATACTGTGGAGGTTCCGTTGGAGCTCTATAGACTTGGGGTACCTATAATCTCACAAAATTAAACAAGCTTGAATTGGAATAACTGTGAGATTTTCAATAGAGTATTGCCTATTAGATTTTTGAAGGTATTGTTTTGGTCACAAGTGCTTTCGAAGTTGAATTGGGTTTTGAATGTTTTCATGAAGTATTCTGGGGTCATAGAGGTCTCAGTAGATTTCATATTTTGTGGCCATTAATAATACATGGTTATTGTAAGTCTTGAATGTAAAGCTATATGTGGATTTAATTATGTGATTAAATAAGATTCTTTTGGAAGTATATCAATCTCAAAGTCACTTTGACAATAACTCTATAGTAATTAGTATAGGTTTATGTAATCATAACAAAAATTAAAAAATACACAGTTTAGTCAACATTTTTCTTCATTAAAAATAAAATTTGTGACTTTATGGTCATGATTTTCTTTTGTAACTATATATATATACTCTTTCAAATATAAAGTTATTTATTTTATTTAATACTACAAATTTATATAAATAATATTAAAACATAAAAAGATAACTAAATATTCTAACATATACAACCACATAATTGGTTATCTAAATATTACTGAAAAATATTATCAATTTAATTAAAATATATAATTCTCTAACTATTTTAAATAAAAATATTAATAAAATAGAATAGAAATGCTAGATCTATATTTAATCAGTTATTTTTTATTAAATAATAGACATTATCATTAACTAGGATTGATTAGGAATTCAAACTATTTTTTTTAATGTACAGACAATAGTAAAGAATGGTTTTAACTATTCTTTATAATTATTTAAATATTATATTATTTATATGGTTTGCATATGACAACGTTGGTGTCACTTGTAGGCTTTTTGCAACATGTTTTCTTACAATGCACAATTTCCTACAATTACCACACTTGTGAGTTTGCTTGACCATCTCAAAGATGTTTTTATCCCGTTGAGTCAAATTCAAGGTGTGAAAAGGTGTGAAATGACAAGGAAGTAGTAGATGAGGGAAGGCAAGGTCATGGATTACAAGACCATGTAGTAAATTTGGATATAAATAGTAAAAAATGTAGGTGGAAATAACAACATCCTTATATGAATATATTATTTATACATCTGCTAAAAAAATTCTTAATTGATATTTTTACGTGTTGATACATGATATGGATATGTGCAATTAAAAATCCAACCTAACTATTTAAATTTAAAATAAGAATCTTAAAAATAAAACTTAAAGCTACTTAATTCTACTTTAAAATGAGAATTATGATAAGATAATTGATAATTATATTACATAAATAAAATAAAATAACTTAATTATACATAACATGTTAAATAAAGAATTAATACCAAATACAAAAAACTAATTTAAAATTAGATATTTAAAATAATTTATTTTAGGATATAATTAAAGACCTACATTTTAATTAAATAAAAAAGAATGGTTTTACTACTTAGAGATGAAATATTGTTCATGATTCATAGAATTCATTAACTGCATTCAAAGAAAGTAGAAATGGAATTTGTAGCAAATGCCATTAAATAAAATTTAAATTTTGTGACTATTGAATCACTAAAAAATATTGCAACTTCTTATAAAATTCGTCTTTTAGAAAAAACCAATAATATCATAGACATTTATAATTTTAAATATTTTTTAAGTATAAAATGTAAGAAATAGAACAGATTATAATAAAGTTATACTTTTTTATTACGAAATTATTTTTAAAAAATATTTTAAAAAATCTTTAAAAAACATAAATATAAAAAAATTAATAAAATATCCAACTAAAAGTAGAAAAAATATTTTTTATTTTATTTTTAAAATAATAATATTATTAAAAAATATATTTATTTATATATATTAATTTAAAATAAAAAATAATAGATAAAATATACATTTTATTTCTAATTGTGTTTTTAAATTATATTAAAAAAAATTATACATATAATAAATTAATTTAATTGATTGCAAGATATTTCAAATTTTATCTATATATATATATATATATATATATACATACATACATAATATTTATATAGTTTTTAAGGGTAATTATATAGTTTTTTTCTATATAAAATCTAAGTCTAAAATACATATAGTAAAATTCTAATTTTTTATTTATTTGATAAGACGTTTATGTATCAACTTTAAAAAGAATAATTTAATACAAAGATTAGAGGTTTAATTAGAAATGTCAAAGCATTCTATTACGATGTATTTTTTTGTATATATATGAAATAATCTTAAGTTGATTCTAGAAGTTGTACTTTATGATTATTAGAAGAAATTTAACCCAAGCAAAGGTCTTCTCTTTTGCATGTTGAAACACTTGCTACTAGTAAAATTTAGTACTACTAAATACTTTTTTTATATCTTTTTCGAAACTTTTTTGCTCTTCATTTGCAACACACCTTCTTCTTCCAACTCCAATATGCTCTCTTTCTCATTCTCTTTGTTCCAACTCTGACATGCTCTCATGTCTACCTTTGTTGCTTACCAACTATGATTTGATAAAAACTCTCTAGATGCTAAATTAGTTTTAGAATAAAAAAATTATTGCATATATGGTAGTGGATTATGAGTCAAAGTAACTCTATTCCTAATAAATTATCGCTCTCAAGCTCAAATAGTATGAAACTCTACCAACCAAGCTCTTGATTAAGGATAAGTAAGGTAAACAAAGATGTGGTGATTGCAAAGAACAACATGTTATAGGATAAGACAGCAAAGTTGGAAAGGATTGCCATATGGAAAGCATAAGAAATTATTTCTTAACTTCAAGGTTTAGTACTTGAATAGCACAAAGTGTACCAAGAAAAATTTGAAACTTAAGGCCAATTATTTATTAAATATTTTGACCAAGAGTACATTATTTATTATATGGTGACTAAAAAAATTAATGATATTTTACTTCCATTCAGTGAATTGATGTCTTTGTATGATATTGATTTTTTGATTTATATGAATGTAATATTACTACCCTTATTTGCATGTGTATAACAATAATAACATCTTTGATGCTTTAAAGGCATATATCTTCTTAGCATGATATAAAGTATATATCTATAAGTTTGAAAGAAAAAAAATTATTAATGTTGATAAGAAAACACATTTCAAAATGCTTCATCATATTGAATTTTGATTCAAGTCAATTGCTTAATCAATTAATATATATATATATATATATATATAATCTTTATAATGTAGTAAAATAATAATCACTTATTTCTATCATCTCAATCATCAATCATTAAAATAAATAATATTACAAATAATCAATTAAAAAACTTACAATTGCATGTGCAAAGTCTTTTAGATAGCCTTGGATCCAAGTTGAGAACTTGATAGTAGAACAGCCAACATATTGTCATTGTATCAATTCTTGTATAAGAGTAATCTAAAAACTTAATAATTTGAGCCTTAGCACTTTAAACACCATCTCCTTTGAAGGTCAGCAATGAGCCCACATCAAGTCTCTTAAATATCCAATGTCCAAAGATATCTTTGTGGTTACATGCAATGGCCGTTTGTATAATATTCTTTGGCTTCATATTTCTCCTTCTAATCCAACCTAAATACATGTTTTGTTGAAGTTTCTATGCATAAATCTATATTCAAGTTGCATGAACTTTTCTTGATAATCCTAACAATAACTTATAAGCATATAGAAACAACATCCATCATACTTTCTTTCTTTCCTATACAATAATCACAATAATAAGTGATTGCTTAAATATTCACTAATAATTACTTTAAAATTAATATATTGATATTCTTTGCAAAAAATCATATTATTTGGAACAACAAAAACCTTGTAGTTTCACATCTACCTTCTACTATGAAAAAAAAAAGTTTATTGTGTATAATTGTGCTACAAATCAAACTAAAATTGTGTCTCTTTTCTACCAAGTTTTCAAAAAAATATTATATTACAACACAAATCAATTATGGTAGAGTATGGCTGAAAATAGGGCAACCAAAATGAAGAGCTACTTGATCAAAATTGGGTGCAAAAAAAAAATAAAAAGAAAAAAAAGTCACCATCTGAGATCCACTCTTTTCATATAATTATGTATTAATCCAACTAGGAACAAACACCAAAAAGATATGTATTTAAAATAGATGTAACTATGTGCTTAAACTATGTTAATCATTCTAAGCTTAATAGTCAACATAATTAGAGAATATTAGCTTTTAATGAGTACAAAAAATCTTCTTTTTAATAAAGGATTGTTCAATGTTCATATGAATTCCAAAAATTATGAAGCAAGTGGCCATGGATAGGATTTGGATTGGCTAATTAGCTTATACTAACTACACATATTTCATATCCTATAAGAAGTAGGTATAGAGAAAAAATAATCCAAACAATACACATCTACCTTATAGTATATTATAATCAAATGACAAAGTTGCAAATTTGAACCTTGAAACTCCTCAACTCAAATTTGTAGATCAAGTTGAGCAAAATACAAGAATACTAACAATATGGCTGAAAATAGGGCAACCAAAATAAAGAACTACTTGATCAATTTCAGAGAAGATAGATATTAAAGCTAATTTAGACCAAAAAATATCTACCCTAGTATGAGTCAATACGTATCTAAGGATCTTACTAATATTTCAGCTTGAATGTGGGCTTATCCAATGTGAACCATCTAGAGTTTTACTTACAAATCCACACAACAAGAACATCTCTAATGAGAAATAAACCCCTATTGTTCATATTCACAAAAACTTGCACAAATTAGAATTGACTTCACAAATTCCTCCGCTTCAAAAGAATCATACCAAATATCAAAATACCTAGTTCCACCTCTTCTAAGAACAAGCTTTAATGTCCAAGCTTGCCCCCACGGGCCATGATAAGAATAAGCATCTATGGTAAGAAGAAGAAAGATGGTACAATTAATGTTAATGGGTATGAAATTATATCAAGATTGTTACTTAACAACTATATTTTAAATCAAATTGATGATTATTTTAATATATTAAAAGATGCATAATATTATTTATTTATTTATAGTTATTTAGTTTATATTCTAAAAAAATTACAGAGACATACATAAAAAATAAATTAAAATAAATTAATGATATAAAAAAATATGAATTGTATGAATTTTTTGTATTGTCATTTGAGTTTTACCAGACAACATAAATATTTTCAAGGTTTAGAATTATCTTTGTAAGACAAGAAATTATTCAATAAAGCAAATAAACAAAATATAAATATCTACATTAACCAATTTGAAGGTTTTTTTAATTTAAAACTATGAAATTTCATGCGAATCTCTTTGAGGAATAACTAAATCTTAATACAGACATAACAAACATGAATAAACAAAGCTTTAAATAATGTGTATTTTAAAACATATGATAACATGCAGGGACATCAAATTTTAAAAAATATTAGAAACAAGAATAGAATAAAACCAATCACAGCATAGATGCAACCAACCAACTTAAATTTTAATCATAAATTCAATTTATTTTTTAAAATATTCAGTGATAAAGATTTGTATTAAAAATTTGTAACACAAACATCAACAAGTGGTGGCTATAAGTGGTTTCAAATCCTGCGTCGGAATGAACAGAAACAGCACGAAGATGGATGAATGAACTTATGGATGGATGCCGATTGGAATGTGTGACCGCCACCACCACCTGTAGATAGAGTTTGGAAGGAATGCCCACGGGAACCCATACCCGTCCCAGCTGCCAATCCGACGTGGCCTGTCGAGTTCAACGAGTGGCCACGGACACTTTAGAGACACACACACGTGACCGTGACGTCTAGCGCTCTGAATCCAGCGACGACGGGTCCTGGCCGACGGAATTCACTTTTGTGCTTTTGTGCAAATTTTGCAATTGCCCTTGGCGGTGGACAACCAATCTGCTTTGCTGTTGGGTATTTAGTCTGATTGCGGACTTCGCCGTTTCATTTGGTGGGTCTCAAATCGCTGCGTGGGTTTGGGGTTGTTTTAGGGATTTTGTAGGAATTCGGAAGGATGGAGATATTGTGAATGAGCTCGTGCGCGGGGGATAGCGGTGGGATCGTGTCAGTTGTAAGTGGAGAAGGATTAAGTTGTTGTTGTTGTGGTGGTGGTGGTGGGTTTGGTGGACATGGGTGTGCTTCCGAGTGTTGTTGGTGCGTCGTGCAGTCGCGGCGCAGGGATGCTTTCTTTGCATTCTGCAGTGAGAGGGGAGGATTGGAACAGGAAGTGTGTGGTGAGCGTGTGGCAGAGGAAAGGTAGTGCTTCATGTAACAGTAATCAAGGATTGAGGAGGATATGGAGGGATGGTTGTGTGAGGAGGAACCTGCGTGTGTGTAGCAATAGCAATGGCAATGGAGAGAATGAATTGCGCAATGGTGATGTTAGTGGCGACGCTGAGAAGGAGAGTGAAGAGGAGAGGATTGGAAAGGAGGAGGAGAAAGATAGCAATAGCGCAAGCAATTCAGGTCGCGTGGTTGTGGAAGTTTCTCCCGCTGTGCTGAAGCAGATGGAAAGGGTTGCTAAGAAGTCAGCTTTGGAACAGAATAATGGGCTCAGCGTGACAGGCATGATGGACATGCTGGAAGATGCCATCAAGTCTGGTGCTGATCAGGTGCGCGGCAAGGATTCGAATGGCGGGTTGAGTCTGATTGAGCAGAATTTAAAGAAGCGGCGAGAAATGTTCAAAGCGCAAGGGCAATTGGATGGCGCTGACAGTGAAAAACCTCCCATCTCGCTCTCCTTTGACGTGGACGCCCGAAATGACGAGAACCGCTTCGACGGCGCGTACTTTGCTCGTCTTGAGGAGCTGGGGGAGGAAACCCTAGAGATGAACACATTAGACGACTTCTACCCTGCTTTCGTCATTCTCATTACAGATGCGTTGTTAGAGCTCGGAGATTTGATGAAAATGCTGGGTGACGGAGAATTTTTCTCCACGCAAGCTATGTTGCGGGCTTCCCGTATTCCAGTGCAGAAGACAGCGTCTGCTTTGAAAGGGTTCCCGGAGGACAGCCAGCTTCGAACATCGCTTGAGAATATTTTGGTTAATGTTCAAGCTTTGTCCTTCTACATATCCTCTTTGTTTGCTGGTCCGGATGGAGTAATTTTGAATCCTGATGAAAGCTTGGCCACCGAAGCAGATTTGTTATACAATATGTATTATAAGTACAAGCACAAGGAGACCTTAACCGTGCCCCTTGATGAGAAGGAGCTCGTCGAGCAGGTTTTGAGTCAACACGGCTTTACTACAGTAGCGAAGGCAGTGCGATGTCGGCAGGGGCTTATCTTCTCCGGCAATTGGTCCAAAACCCCAGCTCTTGCACGTCTGGAGATGCAGAAAACTTTGGATGCAAAATTTGAGGGACTTGTAGCAATTATTCTAGATAAAGTACCGGGGACGACGGAGAATGGCGTCATTATTGCGCACAGATACGAGCTTCTATCATTTACTTTGGCAGAGAAGGGGGACTTTGTGCTTGCGGGCACTCTTCTGTTTGGAGTCTTGGTTGGAAGCTTGCAATTTGATCCTGCAGATGTGGGCATCGATCAAGTATACTTGCAGGGATGGATTGTCGCACTCGGATTGTTTGCGGTGATTGCCGGGGGATGGTTGGCGAGGAAGGCAGTGGCTACGTTGTACAAAGTATCCCACATGGTTAGGTTACCATTCTCATTGCCAGTTCCACATCAGGGTGCTTTTGGAACAGCTGTGTATTACAAGGGATGTTTGCCAGATCGCACTTCCCTGTTGGATCTGTCATTGTCTTCTGCTTTCGCCTCCTTGGCAATCTCTGGAGCTCTCATGGGCGCTAGTTATACTTCCTGGGCATCATCAAATTCATCAGGAGTGGTTGGTTTTGATGGGTTGTTATTGGTGCCGGAGCATTTGTTCTCGTATTCTCAGCTTTTCTCATGGCTAATTCACAATCTGTCGGTTGCGACTATTTCTGGCGAATTTGGAGAGGATTTGAATTTGGTCCTCAACCCTTTAGCATTAGCTGGCGTGCTCGGTCTTCATTCCACAGCCTTGGGATTGCTTCCTGTGGGTATCTTCGACGGCGGCCGCATTGTGACTGGAATTTTCGGTAGAGATGCCCAGCATATAGTGACGACAGTCACATTTATTCTGGTGGCTGTAGCGTTGGCAGTGAAGGAGCCGTGGTTGGCGTTTGCATGGATTGTCAGTACAACTCCAGTTTTGATTGACGATTGGTTCCAGATTGATGAAGCTACACAACCGAGTCTACTACGGAAGGTTGTTGGTCTGGGCATGGTGTTGGGCGCTGTCGGTGCATTTGTACCTACATTAGTATAGGTGTGTAGAGTTAAGTAGGGGAGTTAAATCACGCAATTGGGAGCACTTTTCTACACTTCGTACGAAGTTAGCAATTTGAGAGAAAATGTGCATATCCAACAGGTCAAATGCGATGGACATAATTAACCAGAGAATTGAGTAAATCAATCCCCAACCTCGGGATTGGAGGTTTTCATATGAATTGCTCATTAAATGTGGAGATGGAACAATGCACATGTCATAGCATAGTCCAACATTGCCCACAGATGATCACTGCAACAATACCTACCATCATTTCGAAACTTCAGTTTCTACTTGATGCTGTGAACAACTCGGCCATCAACTTTACTTTAAATTCGGTGTTGTTGGATGTATTTCTAACGAATCGGAACCGTATCAAATAAACTAGGTACTATGTACATATGTACTCTCCTTGCCTGGGGACATAAACTACTGCTGCCGGTTACTTTTCACCTAATTTCCTCTACATTCCTTGCGCAAAACTGGGTTCTGAAATTCATCACCTGCAATGGGGATCAGGTTGAAATATTGTTTATACTCACAATACTTCACGCAATCCTCCACGGTGCAAGATCTAATCAGAGCCATTCAGAAAAAAGAAATACTGTCAATGTGAAGTGCACGATACCTTAAAGTTCAGAATGTCATGTTCCAGCATTTGTGTGTTCGTGTATCCGAATCCTTCAACGCTTCAATCTGCCTAACCTGTAAAAATTGTATGTTCACGAGTGACTAGTGAGTCATTGCACAGTAGCAGGAAAGCGTTGTTTGATTGATACGATGCAGGACTGAACTCGTCAGAGAATAGAGTTCTTGAGGCTGTGGGTTGATGGGCAGTTTACCCTCTCTTTCACGGTAGCCCGTAGTTTCCGCCAACTCATTTCTTCGGGACGAACTTGACCTGTGCCCGCTTTAGCGATGCCTTGCACATTCTCATTGGACGAATTCATGGAGAGGTCTCTCAAAACTTCATATTTATTACCCTGCAGCAAGTGGAGACGGACATTATCAGAGGGTATTGTGTATCATGAACGATAATATGAGTCACATTAGAGGACTGTAGTAAGCCTGTATACATAGTTAGAACGACGAATCTTCATCCATTAAATCCACCCAAAGAGGAATTTACCATTTGAATCCATTCAAAAAGAATTGAAAATGTGAGAAGTAGCGTCTCGACTAGCACTCCTAACGAGCCTACCTTCTTTTTCTCCCTACCGAGACCGATTATCTTTCTTGAAACCTCGCTCTGATTTTCCTTGTCCGATACTCCCGATATTGATTCGCCTGGGGTGCGGACTTTCTTAGCACCCGGTGCGTCGCCCTTGGACACGATATCCAAGTCCTCACAGACAATGAATTCCTTTTCTGAGTCCATCATGGGCTTTGGCGTTAATCTTGGCTTCTTCGCACTGGGCAAATCCCTGTCGACTACCTGTGCAGGATACGGGAAAAAGGGGCAAAGTGAGACAAAATTCCGAAATTTTCTTCAAATTGCTACGTTGACGGAAGCACACTGTTGGAAATTAAACAATAGACCATCTTTTCCAGTGGGAAGGAATGAAATTCACATCGTACCGTCTTTGCAATAAGCGCCTTCGTAGTAGGGGTTTTGAATCCATCAACCGCGGAAGGATCCTCCATGATTGAAGAGCACTTGGGTTCCCAATAGCCTTCTCGCACTTTCCTCTCAGCGTCGGAACTCCAAGTTGCCAGTTTTTCCAGTATGGAGGTGGCTTTCGCCAGAGTGGAGTCTATTTTGTTTCGGATTTTCGTTAACGGAGTTACTGTCTCCCCGAAATTTGAGGTGGAATTGGTCTGCATTGTTGTCATTGGAGTTGCAGGAATCTGGGCACTACGCTCAGGGCCTGACATGGGCATATCTGTAACTGCAGCAACTACGCCCTTCATTGCTGCGACAGTGGGAAAAAACTTATCCTCTTCCTTATCGAACAGCTCATGAGAGAATCTCTGGACTTCATCAGATATAAATATATCAGAATCACTCTGCACTCTATTCAAGCAGGTCCGAAGCTCACCATGGCTACGGCCCGATACTTTCATTCTCCTCTCACAACGGCTTGCTGCAAGGTCGAAACCATCTAAATCGGGTCCCAGATCGTGACCCTGAAGAAGATGACGCTCCGGGTGCTCCTCTAATACTTCCACGCTACTATTCAAACCGCCACTTGCACCCTCACGAATGCAGGGGAGAAGCGGACGATCGTGTACTGGTGTAGTACTGTTATGTAGAAGTTCGGGTGAAAGTAATGAAGCGTTGAAACTACTACGCTCTGATGGTACCCATCGAGTGGCACAATTCGAGATCCCAACCGGTTCCGAGTCGATTAGCGAGTCAGCAAACCCCTCACAATTATTTTCAGAATTTCGGCATAATCCAAAGAGCTCTTTGTGCCGAGCCATGTCCTTGAATTCGAATCCTGTTTTTTGAGGACTCAGGGGGGTAATTTCCTGTCTCGGGGCCGGAGATATAACTTGCTCCTCTTCCACGGTTACACTCCTTAGAGATCCAAACAGTTCTTTGTGAAGGGCTGGATTCTTAAATTCAATTTCAGCGTAGGAGACTTCAATGGTCTCTGTGTCGGGTTCAGGTTGGGGCTCTGGTCCCCCCGGTACACTTTTGTTTATCTCGGCCTCGTCAGCGAAAGCCACCCTCTTGTCCCTTGATGGTTGCTTCGCTCCACCAGCCAATTTAGGCAACGGGAGTGTGGCCTCTTCTTCGTGCGAGGATATCCTAGAACTGAGCCTAGACTTCATTTTCATGGCTCTTCTACTGGTGGAGTTCAACGGCGTAATTTCGGGTACTTGAGACTCTGAAGATTTAGGCGTAGAAGGAAAATCAGAGAAAGAGACAGCTGGAAGAGCATCTCGGCTCCTTCTAATCTTAATGGCTGCTGCCTCTGTCGATCGCTTCCTCGGCGTGGATGCCCGTGCCTTGGGACTGCTCGCTGCCGTTATTGATTTCCCGAATTTGCCATGGGTGGCTGCAGGCGCTGCTTTTCCGAGTCTTTCCTGAAATGCGGCAGCTGCAAATCCACCCCAATATTGAAGCTAGTGCAGGATCTATGCGGTTAATGTGTGTCCGCTAGTCTTCTGAGGTGAGCCAAAGTCACTCACCCACGTAACCTAAGATAATCCAATTGAATATGAGGAAAAAAAACAATAGTAATTATAGTAACTATAATAATAAATAAGTCACAATAGTACCTCGTGTGAAAGCAGGGACAACTGTGATCTTTGATTTCTCCTCGACTAGAGTCTGCAGAGGTCTTTCAGATCTCTTAATTCCTCGCTTTAAGGGCGTTGTAGTGGATCGGAGAAATTTGGCTTCGATTTTGTCATCCGTAAGTACTGTCTCAGCGATCTTCACAGGCGAGATCTTTGACTTGCCATTCAAAGCGAACGACGCCAATGATGCCTCGGGCAATCCTGTTTTTTTCTCCACTTTAAACTTCATAGGAGTACTCTTTGAAACTCCTAGAGAGCTTGTGCCTGATGACGCTTTGGATTTCCCATTCTCAGCCTGCCGATTCAAAACCAACGCACTGCCGCTCTCAACATCGACACACTCAAAAGGTCAACCAAAAGTGACTGTAGGAAACAGCCAATTGACAGATGAAATGTGATCCATTCTCCTAGGGAATGATCAAGTTCTAAAAATTCTAGCCATGGATCTCCGAATACATCAAGGTTTCTGGTTTCGAATACAGAATTTTGGTTGAAACGAAACATACTTCCATTCGCCTCAACAGTTAACAGACCCTTCATAATCATCGGTAATGAGATCTCTAGTGGCATTCTACCACGAATTCAAATCACAAACACACCCAACCCAAGGAATATATCTAAACTTACAAGTATACACGCGGAGAGAGCGTCCGCCATGGAGACATTGGTCTTGTTCGCAGGGACACCATACTGCTTGCACAGCACTTGAAGCTCACGACGGGGCAGGCTGTAGAGTCGCAGCGTTGCCTCCGCTTTAAGCCTTCTAAACGATGACATGTCTTATCAGAGACCGAGAGGTCAATCAGGATACAAAACACCCACTCTCTCCAACCCAAGCCAATTTGTCCGCTTCCAACATCCACACTGCTCCTCACTCAAAATTCCAAGACTCTCACCAAATTCTCACCACTCTCTCCACACATCACAAATCGGAATTCACACACCCTGCTCAAACCTCCACCGAAACTCATCACCAACCAAACCTGCTCACGCAAACAACTACCACGAACGAAATACTACAACATTGCGCAATCCCGAAACCATCACCAAGAAACCGCATCGACACGACGTCTGAAGTGTGAGGGCGCAGATCCGCGAACGATATAAGGCAAATTCTACGTCGGAGCTTCAGAAAGAGTGCGAAAAATAAGCGGAAATGCGACAAAAACAAGATCGGAAGGTAACGGTCAGGTACAATAACGAAATTCAGACAGTCAGCGGCCAGAGGCGAATTGGCAAGTGATCGCATCCGTGGAAACAGAGGCAGGGACTGACTCCGTGTGCATCGCCGACGCGGACCCCCGAGAGCAGAAACCAAGGCGACGAGGCGCGAGGCGAGGCGCGAGGCTGCGGATTTGAATCACGGATGAATGAATGTGTTCATGACTTATGGATGTACAGCGACTAGATTTGGACGTGCGTGTGGCCATTGCCACACACCGTGGATGATTCCGCCCCATCTCCGTCCATGTAGATGAATGTCATCCTCTGTACTGTTTATCGTTCGCTGTTTATCATCCGTTTTGGCTTTGCCATTTAAACTGGGAATTTGAATATTAAGGGGGGTTCTTTAAAGGTCTTTGACGTTATTTTTTATTCGTTATAAGTATATTATTAAAAAAAAAGTTCTAATTCTTCATTGTGTTCACATTACTTTACTCATAAAGTTATTGGGTTGTTTAGGGTTTTGTGAGTTTGTTAACTTGAATGATGGTAAGATTGATTTTTTTTTTCAAATTCTTTTCATGGCCTTCCCTATTTTTCAATGTCCATGCAAACCATACATAGTGTGTTGATTTAGGAGGGTGAAAAATGAGGTAACAATTTTTTAGCATCTACTTGTGGTATTGTTAATTTTTATTTTCTTCCATTTTAGGCTCTTTCTTTTTCTTACATTTTTTAAATTATTTTATTAATATTTTCATTGAAAAAAAAGAGAAAATTCTGCAGATCAAGTACCAATAATAAGAAATAGTTATCCAAGATATGCATATCACCCAAATTCATTCCATTTGCACGCTCCTGAAGAATGCCCAAAATGAATACATAAATAAACATGAATCAATGAAATTTGATTATTCAATATGTTATGAGATTCTAAAAGACGTCGGAATATTTGAGTACAAGTCTCAAAAATAAAATTTAAAAAGCAAACTTATTTTAGATAGTTTAATCAATAAATAGTCCATGACATTTTTATACCTGCATTTAATGATTCACAAGTTGAATTGTTTTTCAAGTTGGCTAATATTTCTATCTTGAATAAAAACATATTCTCATGGTGTGAATTGACAATTAAAAATTTATTGATGATGTGTTCATGATAAATAATATTTTCATGCAATTTAATCAACCTTAAGAAGATGAGCATCTATTAATTTTTGTTCAATTCAACATTCTTCATTAAATCAATCAATAAACTCTTGCTCAAGATGTTCATAATGAAAGTGATGGTTATAAATGAAGAGTCAATGATTTTAGGTTTATTCCTCCTAATTCGTTTCATAAAGTAATTGTTTTTATATGTTTGATAGATCACCGTGAATATATCTCCACAACAGAAGTAACAATCTTATGGATTTTTAATTTGTGAGATTTTTGAAACTGAATCTTGGTTTGATATGACTCAAAATCACAATCATGCAGTTTATGTTATTTTGTGGAAATTTCCATTTTACACTTTAATTTTTTTTTAATAGATAAGTAGTTGATTTTGTAACATTTTGAAGTGCATCCACATGACATCAGGTTCTACATTTAAATAATAAATAAATAAATTCAACTGTGATGATCTAAACCATTAATTTAAAACAATTCAAATCCTTATATATATATATATATATATATATATAATCATTGTTATTATTATCATCTTTTGATGTGGGGCAATAAGGGAACAGAATAAAGACAAGGCGAACATATTTCCAATCTTCCAAAATTCAAATCTTAGTGTATTTAAGTTATATATATGCCACATTTCTTTAATTTCACACAATACTGGTATATTTAAATGATGTTTTTAGGTAATTTATTCTGAACTATGTTTTCATGTTTAAAACGTGTTACAAAAAATGTCATTTTATACAAATAATGTAAATTTTAAATACACTTTTTGCATTATGATTCCATATTGGTTATTGGCTATACATATGATACAACTAAGTTTATTTATTATATGGGTTTTATTTGGATTAATATAATCATCAGAAAATCAAACATTGAGATAAATAAACTCATTGCTATTGTTTTAATCGCTTTTACTGCTATTCTAAGGTTTTTTATTTACCACAAGAAGATTTCCTTTCAAGTAAAAGCAAATCTTTATCAGCTTAAATAGGTAAGTCATAGAAGTGAATCATAACATTATTTAATTATTATTATGCAACTTCGAATTTGGGTTTTCTGTATTGAGGTGCACACTATTGTACTTGTATTAAACATCATTCTAATTTCAGTGCTAACTTCTACAGTACCCAATAATTTAAGAAAAAGAAAACTTCATCTTATCTCTTTGCGTAGTATTTCAAAATCATTTTATTATTATTATTTTTAAAAATTTCTACGTGGGGAGTTACAAATAAAGACCAGTTAAAATTTTGAATGAGTCGTTACAAATTCGTAATGAAACTACATTTAATGTGCAAAAACTAAAGAAAAAATAAATTTGAAAAACAGAAGAAATATTATCAATTAAATTTACAACACAATAATCAAGTTCATTGTTAGACAAACGCTTTGTAACTTTTTATGTTTTTTTAACTGTGGATTGTAAAGTCTTTGGTTAGAAAAGCCCATAAATATAAATCATTCTTCATAATGTGGCAACTAGAATTTGGAAGAAATTTTTATGGAGAAAAATACTTAAAAGCAAAAAACTATAGACTCAATTTAAAAGATAAAAACTCTATTGCTTGGATTTTTTCATGTTAATCAAATTTGATAAAAATTAATTGGATATAATATACAATAAAAAATCTAAAATCCTATTTTAAGTCTGAAAATATTTTTTGCAATCTTAGTAAAATTTTGAGCTAAGAATGTAGAAGACAAAATGAAAGTAACACGAACAAAACAATTTAGCTCCAATGAATATCAAATATGTATTTAAAAAATTTGAAAGTATTTGATTTTTTTGAAGGTTGCCTAAAGCTTTCAACTTTTCTTTTAAGTTATAAAGCCCATGTTGCTTCAATCCTTTTGGTGGACATATATATATATATATATATATATATATATGCACAATTAAGACTTTTGAAAGCAAAATTTACACTGTTGGGTTTTATTAACATTCGAACTTTTTTGGATCTATTAATAATTTTCACTGGAGGTGTTTTTGATTAACATGAATGACTTTGAGTTAAACATTGAAATCAAAATAATTGCTCCTGAAAATAAGGTCATGATATCATTCCAAAAGATATAAATTATTCCTGTTCAGTTGTGGTGCAAAGAGAAATTGGCTTTAGTTTTAAATTAAAATTAAAATATTAAATATTAAATTTTTATAAAGGAACTTGGATTATTTTATTTTGTTATTATTGTTGTTATTTTTGTTATTTTTTTATTATTATTCTTTATAAAAATAATAATGTATTCAGAAAGTTTAATGTCAAATTTATTGTGGTTTATTGATACTTTTTTCTTCTGGTAATTATTAATGTTCTTGAAGAACAGCTTCATCTAAGAATAGTAATATAACATTACTTAACTCATCATAGTGCTATACATTATATATAAAAAACCTAAAAATGTTACATTTAAAATAGGTCAAATTTTTCTGAAAAACGAAAACAAAACAAAACAAATTGCATACTTTGATACATGAGACTTAAGTTTTAGAATTATATTCACTAAAAAAAGATGGATTAAACAATTTGAATGCAAACACTGATTTTGCAAATTATGTTATAAGTTTTGAAAAACATGTATGATCAATGGTTGTGCGAACTTGCCATGATTTTGTTTCTCTTAAAATATTTTTAGCTTAATAGGAAAAATGTTATTGATCTTAAATAAAACATGCATAACCAAAAACATGCACAACTTTGTATTATTTTATTCATTCATATAATACACACATAAGAACAAATCCATACCAACATAGAACTATTTTATGTCTTTTATTAGTTTATATGTTTTTGAAATTTTGTATCAATTTTGGAGAATCAATCTAATTAGAGAATTGTTTAAATTTTTATCAATAAATGACTTATTTATTTTAATTGTCAAAAGAAATATGAGTAAGACATCTAAGACCAAATTTGGATAAAAATGAAGTATAATTATAATTACTATTTATATATTAAGATTGCTCAAGGAAACAAATGGTGGCTCTCGTTCAATGCATGTTTCTATCTTTGTTTTCATCAAAAGACTTCACATTATATGGAATTCATAGGCCTTTAACGAAATTGAGATATTGATTAATTTTATATTTTGGAATGCTAAATTACTATTTTTAGATGTTAATGCATTCTATTGATATGTTTTGTATACCGCCTCTTAGATTTCGGGCATTCTTTTGCATTCTTCTTCTCAAGTGATGAGTGAATGGAAGAGCACGTGGTGGTAGTTATGCGTTGCAGGTACATAGAGAGTTCTATACAATAGTATTGAGATGTTGCATCTGACTAGTTAGTTGGTTGGATGTCATCATGTGTGATCATGTAGCAAAGCACTAAAGCAAATGGTCATAGTGTGTTGCTAGATGGTTCAAAGCTAGGTCAAAAAAAGATCCATCACAATTCCTCACTTTGAATGCTTAATGATCCTAAAACTAGTGTTGCTAAGAATAGGAAATGATTGTGGTTGGACTTAAAGAGTTAATATTTCATGAGCATAGATTTTTTAGATAAAAATTCGTTAAATTTTAGGTAAGAGCAATACTTATTTATATATTGATTTTTACTGAATTTAAAGGTGCAAGAATATTATAAGGAATTACCATTGCAAATTGCATCTTTTCTTGCTTCATGATTACTAATGGCATGTATATTTTTGAATTTAGAAAAACAAAATTGCATCGTGAATTGCCACTAATGAAAAGATAAATTGGCAAACAATGTAAGCTATGTGTTTCCTTTGAATTGATGTGATTTAAATTAAATTGATTCAATTTGCTTCAAATTGATGTGCTTTGAATTGATGTAATCAATGGCATGAACAACAAGAATGTACATGGCATGCCAATGCTGTAGTGAGTAAATTATTTGAATATACTTAATTTAAGTCATAACAAGTTATATACAATGGTACTATTGATGTGCTAGCATGGTAGGAGTCTT